GAGTCTCAGAGTGTAATAATATCAAACTGAGCTTTTTGTGGATCTGAGAACATTAACTTCAGTTTGAAGCCTAAGAAGTCAGTAAGGACTCTCTTCTCCCCTGAGTGATGGCAGGGTTTCCATCGAAAGATGTGAGGCTCTGTTTTCTCTGCTGCTACAGAGTGCATCCCCGACTAGAGCTCGCACAGCTCCCTGCTGAGACCTCCTCTCTACTGGCACAGATTAAAGGGAAGTATTGTCAGGAAGCTACTGAAAATGCTTTTAAACTGCCTGGTAAATGGCAAATTTGTTGAGGCAGTCTGCATGTGGGTGTAATTACTGGCATGTAAAAATATTACACTGTTGCATAACCCAATGTTTTTTTTAATGCAACACAAAAAAGTAACCTTTACAAGTGTAACCACATTGTGTGATGATTTTCAGCTCTGCTTAAAAGTTATCTCAAAATCTGAAGGCTCTGCAGAAGTTTCCCTTGTCTTCTAAAAAGGCCAACTTTCCATAGTTTTCCAGCTGCTACCTATCAGAGACTATTTGTTCAACAGGACTAAAGAAAATATCATCAGGACAGTTTCTGAGTTCAAATGCACTCGTTATTTTTTTAAGTTTACTGTTGTACGACACAAGATTTTTGTGGTTTAGGTCATTCTCCAGATGCAGATCATATCTCTCTTGATGATAACCCCTGCTGTCTCTTTACTGTAACTTCATATCTCAAGCCTCGTCACTCATTCTGACACATTTCAGTGTCTTCACTACAATAAGTTTCTTCTTCTTCTGGGCTCAGTGGGATGCTGGATATCGACTTCTGGCCCAAATCCTAAATGATAGCGATCCATTGCTGCCTCATCAGTGCTCCAACCTGATCACAGTCGGTGTGCTTCTGCTTTTTAATCACCGACCACATGAAAAATGTCCTCAAAGACCTGTCTTGATGCCTGCTCAATCATCCAGGTGAGAGCATCATCCAAACCGACGGCCAAACTGAGGTCACTTTGATGAGTGATGAAACTAAAACATCCATC